TAATAATGACATTGGAAACAACATCCTGTTTTATCCCGCAATATAGATTCTACTTGGCAGTCTTTTGTCCTTACTGCTTTATTCTCGCTAAAACAAACCCGGAAATAGATGAATTTCATAGAAAAAAGAGAGAGAGAAAGAAAAAGATAATTTAATTTACTAACCTTCCATCTTATTTGTCATGAGAGATACAGAGAGAGAGAGAGAGAGACAGAGACAGAGATACAGAGAGAGAGAGACAGAGACAGAGACAGAGATACAGAGAGAGAGAGAGAAATATATATGTGTGTTGTGTGTGGTTGTGTGTGTGTGTGTGTGTGTGTGTGTGTGTGTGTGTGTAATGTGTGCGTGCGTGTGTGTGTGTGTTTGTGTGTGTGTATGTGTGTGTTGTGTGTGTGCGTGTGTGAATGTGTACCTGCGTGTCTGTGTGTGTGTGTTGTGTGTGTGTGTAAATGTGTGTGGATGTGTGTGTGTGTGTGCATAAAACCTTCCAACCCTCTATTCTTTTCTCCAAATTTTTGCAAGACTGTCACCAAGCCGAAAAATCTTTCCATTCCGCAAAACTTGTTCGCACATTTTTCTAAGACAATCGTGAGAATTCCCTGTGACATCCAGCTTAAAGTTTTTTTTTCTATTTTTTTTCCTTTTTCTTTTTCCCTTTGCTTGTCTTTATCATCGTTATTGTTATCATCATCATTATTATTATGATTGTAATTGTTATTACTTTTTTATTGTTAACGTTATTATCATAATTAACATTCTCATTATTATTAATATTATCATTATCATTAGTATCAGTGTTAGTAATTTCATCATTACTATCATTATTTTATTATTATTATTATCATCAATATCTTTATCATTATTATTATCATCATTATTATTATTTATCATCATTATCATTTTCATTTTTATTATCATCATATTATAATCATTATTATTATTATCATCATTGTTATATTAACTAGTGTAATGAAAAATAAAGATGACAACAACAGAACAAATGCAGTGCATGTGATTTCATATTTTTCAAAAGCATTATCACACCACAGCATAAAAACAACCACATCAGTGATAATAACACTATTAGTATCAATCAATTTATTAATCAGTCAATTAAATGATATTAGGATATGAGAGAATAATTAGACAGGGAAGTAGTCAAACTTGAGAACGTTCAACCGCTAAGACAAAAAATAAAGATAATCTCTCTCTCTCTCTCTCTCTCTCTCTCTATCTTCTCTATCTCTCTCTCTATCTCTCTCTCCTCTCTCTCTCTCCTCTCTCTCTCTCTCTCTCTCTCTCTCTCTCTCTCTCTCTCTCTCTCTCTCTCTCTCTCTCTCTCTCTCTCTCTCTCTCTCTCTCTCTCTCTCTCTCTCTCTCTACCTCTACCTCTAAATAATAATAATAATAATGATAAATGAATGAATAAATAAAACGGATGATGACAATATAAGGTTTCTATCAGAAATTCAGATGCCTTGTTTATATTGGTTTTATTGTCTAGAAAAGCCATCCAAGGAAAAAATCTGAGTATGCAAGAGTCGACATACGATTACAGATTTAGTTTGGAAAATCCAGGTACACGTATATAACAATATAGAAAAGGATAATTTGCATTTTGGTTTTGAATCTTTTTTTATACTCACGCTCCCTTTAGTTGGTCTTTGCTTCCACGCTTCATTACCGAAAAAAATCAAATTAAAAGGAGTTTTTTTTGTTTTTTTTTGCGGTATGATTATATAGAAATTCCTGTTTTTTTTTATCCTCACGCTCCCTCTAGTCGGTCCTTGCCTCCACGCTCCATTACAGAATAAAAATAATCAAATTAAAAAGGGGAAATTAAAATTACTTTTTGCATATGATTATATAGAAATTCTTGTTTCTTTTTTGCTGTTTAATTTTTTTGTAAGATTATCCATTTCAATGTAATACCACTCAGATTATATATATATATATATATATATATATATATATATATATATATATATATTATATATATATATAAGATAGATAGATAGATAGATAGATAGATAGATAGATAGATAGATAGATAGATAGATAGATAATGAGCTCACGTACTCACTGAGAAAAATAGATTATATGAATGTGAGTATGCATGAACGTGTGTGTGTGTGTGTTTTGAATGTGCGTGGTGTACTTGTGTGTGTGTGTTCGTATGCATTGGCAAGCATAGCATTATCACAGGAGATAACGCAAGACCTTCACGTTTTCTCCACGTCTGTTTGAGGTTCAAGCACTGATATCTTTGATTTTTTAAAGCAAATCAGCAACAAAACTAAAAATCATCTCTATTCCTCAGTTATTCCCAATTATTCGCCGTCTCCCACCTACTTAAAAAACGAAAAAAACAAACAGAGAAATTACAAATACGCATCGTACCTCCACCGAGAGATAAAGACGAAAATCAAATAGATCATCTAAAAGATTATCTCTAATCTATCTTATCTCTAGTTGCTCTTCATTATTCCTCCTTTAC